TCTTTCTACGAGAGACTCGAGTCTCTCAATTTTTCAGTTTTATTCATTCAGTCTCTCTGTGAGAGACTCGAATCTCTGAATTAACAATTTTATCGTTCGAGTCTCTCATACAGAGACTGTCAGAGATCCATAAAAACTCCTAGGCAATAATTGAGAGACTGTGAGAGACGCTCTCAGAGACGCTGAAAGACTGAGAGACTGGAGAGAAAGACTGAAAATTTTGGTCTAGGGACAGGGAGGAATTATTTGTGTTGACTTTATACTCTTACCTGCATATTTAATGTAATAAATATAATATAAAGTACATCATCAACCAATCTAGTCTATGGTCAGTAAACCCGGAAACCTCCAGTGTCTAAATTGACTCCGGAAATGGAAGCCTACAGCAATTAATTAACCCTTAAAGTTTCTATATCAAAGATAATTTTTATGTAAATATTTACTCTTGTTTAGTGTTTTTTATTCCAGTCAATTCTAAGTTTCGTGTTTATTTACAGATACAGCAAAGAAAATTATTTGTCAAAGAGTCAAAGCCAGGGCGTTTTTCAGCATGAAGACGTAGAATACGATGGTGGTGGTGGTGGGTTACGGCGTTCTTTGACTCAATCGGCCATGCCACAGAAAATCGCCGAGCTTCAAGCGAAGCTTCAAAAAAGCGGCGACAGCGACTGGAGAAAAAGGATACCAAAACTAAACAGTGCTAACGAAGAACTCAGCTTGCTAAATGTGAAAAACCGGTACAACGTAAGTTTACTATTCTTTTGGTTCTATTATGAACGGAATTTTCTCTCTATCAGATTCTGTTAGTTTGAAGACGATATTAGGTATCTCTAGTCCAGATTTTGTTTCGATATTCCATTGCGATTCGGTCGTTTGTACGAGAAATTTAATTTCTGAAACTTTTGTGAAGAATGAAAACGTGTTTTTATTTGTGTAAAACCACAACCAACGTTTTGCTCTCACTTATGAACATCTTCAACGCTACAATACAGAAAGGATGTTAAAATAGTTACAAAAAGTTGTAAGGATGTAACTCACTTATGTTTCTTTGTTACAAAATGTAGGCATCCAAGGTTACGGATTTTTTTGGCAAGGTATACAATACGAGACTAATTAGAATAATTAATGAAGTTCCTATTATATCAATAAAATTTAATCAATAAATATCATAAATAATTACAAGCCTCATGATGACAGTGATGATGGACACAATAATGCATATACATACAAGGAAATTCTGAGTGAGTTGCACCCTTACAATTTATTCGTAACTATTGTAATATCCTTTATAAATTGTAGCCCTGAAGATGTCTCATAATTGAGTACGAAACGTTGGTTGTGGTTTTACACAAATAAGATCTTTCGCTTTTTACGTAGCTTGATTTTGTACATTTAAACAATTTTTGGGGAAGAAATGGTTACTGATATCTTGAACATCATCAGTTAGACAAAAATGACCCAAAAAATCAACAGCAGTAATTCTTGTCTGTTAATTAAAAATGATAAAAATAGTTACGCTTTCAAGACTGGCGTTATTTGAATAATGCTTGATATTAGAACTTAATGGGTGTTGTCTAGGATTAACTCTCCTCCATTGATGAGAACATCGATGGAGTTGTTTATCTGACGTTTCGCCATTGACTTCGTCAGGGAACGTAGCAATTGAAGATCAGGATAATTTTGGTCTCTCACATTCCGTCTTGGTCCCTCCACCCGCTTGAAAATAATTTTTTTATTGAATTTTATTTGAATTATAGTGCATGAAAATTGTCAAAATAATCAACTTTCAACCCCCATAACTTTAGTTTAGTTACACTAGATACGTTGAAAGAAACAGTTGGTTACAGTAAATAATATGGAAATCCTAAGTTGATTTTATCCACAAAAGTAGAATATGTTGACTTTACATATTTATTAGTGACTGCACTTTTTTCATTAACAATTCGTTGCATTCTTTTGGAGCAAAACAAACTGTTCTTGACCTTTACGTTAACCCCATACGATTAGAACTGTGTACCAATGGACCTCTCGAAAGTAACATATTGTAATAAATTGTTCCGCTTTACATCTGTCGTATACGGGTAAGGAAAATCGTTCACCGAACATAGAAATTACACATTTCTTTATTGGCATTTACAAAATACCTTAAAACCATATCTAAGCGCCTATCATACAAACCAACTAAAAATCATTCACTTAAACTTAAATTTATCACAAAAAACAAAATTATATTCTTCCCCGATCTCTCACTCTGTTCTCTTTTTTAAAGTTATTTTTTAAAGGAGTCGCTCCCTTTCCTTCTGCTCTTAATATTGCTGTGTATTCACTCCCTATTTAAATTTCCACATCTTTTTCTGTCATACGACTTAAACACTCATTTTCTCTTCTGCATACTCTACATTTTCTATCTTTGTCTCTTTCAACCAAATTTGTTCTCATTGCATTGTTTTCCTGTCCTAAATTTTTCCATAACTGTCATATTCTTGTTTCCTCCTTACCATTTTCTCCATATCTCTTTTCTTATGCCTCCTTCCTGTAAAAGCTTTAATTTTTTTTTCATGTCTGATTTCTCTCTTCTCATCTTAAAATCAAGTACTGCGTGCCTTTCCAATTTTAAAGGCTATTTTATGTATATTATAAATAATATCTTCACTTGATTGTAGCTTTTGCACCCACAGATTTTCANCTTGATATTAGAACTTAATGGGTGTTGTCTAGGATTAACTCTCCTCCATTGATGAGAACATCGATGGAGTTGTTTATCTGACGTTTCGCCATTGACTTCGTCAGGGAACGTAGCAATTGAAGATCAGGATAATTTTGGTCTCTCACATTCCGTCTTGGTCTTGAACGTAGATTTTAATTAAGATTAAAATTGAAAACGAATGTTACAGTTTTTAAGTGCATTATCTCGAGAATGAAAAATGATATCGACTTGGGGTCAATTGCATTCGACGCATAATTATGCAACTTAATATTTATTAGGTTTTCAGTAAAATCGGTCCAGCCATTTTTTTGTGGAGAATCAAAGCACTGTGAATTCTAATCCAGTCATATTTTGGGTACTATTACTTATTATTACACGTTAGGAACATTTGTAAAAAAAATAAGATAAGAAAAGTATACTACTTCAGGGTAAGAAATACTGTTAGCTCTATAAAATTTAAGAACAGAAATTTAGTTTCAATATTTTTTTGCAAAAGATGTGTGGTTCTTTGGCATTAGCCCGTCTTCACTTGCTTAATGTGAACCAGTGGAAACTGAGAAGATCGGGAAAATAATTACGAATAGGATATATGGTATTTTTATTCTTTCTACTGAGAAGTTAGTTGTGTGGACCTCCTGGGTTGCACCCAGAACGTCTTTTATTAAATTATTAATAAAATACCCTGAATTTGATAAAAAAATATCATGACGGTGTATGAACTATAATTATGAGCGTGTTGTTCAATAAAATCGTCCAGCAGGCACCCGCATGTTCCCCATTTACGCCATTAAATTAAGTTAGTAAATAACTGTTTCCCGTTAAAGTTTTAAATTTTCAATACTCATGTGGAAGTACTAATTCGTTACGAGTTTTACGTATGTAGATGTAAATATATGCAGGGAGTTAATGTGCACCAGGCTATAAAACGTTCACCGTTTCATTCGGTTTAGAACCTTCTTAACGATTTACAACATGGGCATAACCAGCCCCCAAAGAGACGAGAAGCTTGTAATTAGCAGCATTAAGACGACAGTAAAATACATTTCCAGTTGTAAATGGATCTTCATGTGAATTTGCTCGAGGTATACTTTTTCGTCTGCGTCTGCAATATGTAGCGTAGATATATGGTAATTATATTCAGTAATTTGAGGTAATCAAAAGAAAAATTATTGCATAGTAATTTTATGTTTACTGCGGAATTCACATAAAATCTAAAACGATTCACATACACAGTACACTGTAGTACACAAGACAAGCTCGCACGTATGACAGAAAATTTCAGCATTTAAGACAGTGAAAATGATATTGAAATACACTGATCATAATTATTGGGAAATATTTCCATTTATAAAATGAGAACGACACCTAACAAAAAACTCATATGGTAGTTGGCATTCTGTCAAAACACGTGGATTGCGATTTCGACTGTCTTGGGTCTCATCAGCACGTCGAAGACAGTTCCGCAGATCAGCTGCCTATAGACAGCTTTTCATGATTAACAACAAGCAGCCTAGTTCAGCAAGTTGATATCCTTAGGGACCTTGTTGAACATTTATGAATTCCACTAAATGTAGCAATATGCGATACCGTAATAAGAAATATTTGGGGTTGCACCAGTTCCATACGAATCAATTATGAACATTTCGAGTAATGCGCTTCATTGTCACATTGTAATCTTGTCGTAAATTCTATTTAATAAATGGAATGTGAAATAATCGCATGGTATGAATAAAATCGCCCGGCTGTTGAACTTTACCATTTTTGTTTCTTCCTCATTAGTTAAATTAATTTCAGTGAAGTACAAAAAATTCTGAAACTTGAAACAAATTGTGAAATTTTTAGCTGAATTAAGAACATTTCTTTCATAATNAGAGCTTCGTTTGTATTAATTAATACCAAATCAAACCATTTAATCATTTGGCATGGTCGAAAATCTTCAAAACAAACGAGAATTGTTACTGAACAAAGTGTTGACAAAATTGTCAGTAACAAACCAAGAGAGTTTGGCTTTAGCAATGAGGAAAAAGTTAAAGTTGATATTCTGGAAGAGGGAAATAAAAATTATTATATTACTTTATGCAGGTAAACTTCTTGTGAAAGCTAATCATTTTTACTAGCTGTTATGTTTGATAACATGTAGGTTTTTACGTTTGTTATAGGATGAACTTAATGAAAAGAATTCGATTCTCAAGGCTCGAAAAGAAGAGCTGGATGCTGCATCCAATCAATGGCGTAATAGAATCGAACAGTCGGATTCTCTCAATTTTTCAGTGGCAGGTAGAATGCAAAAGAATAGCAATGATATACCGATAATCAATATCAATCTACCAAAACTTGACAACGTAAAACGAACTCCAAAGGCGAAGATTTTCAAAGGAAAGGCAGACGATGATGCTCCTAAAATCACATCTCTTCCTGTCTCTCCCGAAAAAACTTCAAAATTGCTATTTCCGAGAAGTATTTCTTCACCTGGTGGAGATGTTCATGGTATGTCTTTTTGCAGCAGTGTATATGAGTTATTTTGATATCAATTTCCTAACAGAACATGTATTTTCTGCTTCAGATGCTAGTGTATCTCCAACATCAGTACGAAAAGTAACAGTAATAAGGCCAGATGATATTACTTTTAAGACCTTTTTTGAGAGCATCGATAGTAAAAAGCTTGCTGATCTAGAACGAGTTCCCATAGACGATTTAGATTGCGTCGTGCGTGAATCAGACAATTTATTGGTTTACAAAAGGGACATTAAGTTTCGCAGGAAACACGAAACCCGAAATAATCCAATTAAAGTTCTTGCGTCTCGAACCGATATAAAAGATGAATATACTGAAATTATAACAGGTGTCGCCGAACGAGAAAAGAAGAGGCAAAATATAGAGAAACGTAAGTTATTTGTGATACCCAGTAATAAGCTTTTTTTAACAAACTTTTTTAATTGCAGTGTCAAAAAATTCAAATCTAGCAGCTGAAGCGCTAGCTGGTTTGGCAAGCAAGGAAGACTTCGCTGCTGTTTCATTAAAAAAATCATCTTCGTTTACCTCCTCTTATGTCCCTTTCAAGGATACCATGCTAATCCATGTTAAAGGACGAAGACATGTGCAGACTCGTTTGATTGAACCAAAAGTAGAAAATATTAACGAAGGAGACAGTTACATTCTGATCAAAGGAAATACCATCTACAGTTATACTGGTAGCTTCTCCAATATAATAGAACAGTCCAGAGCTTCAGATATAATAAATCACATTCAGAAAACTAACGATATGGGATGTAAGGGACCTAAATTTGTAACCGTTACCAATAAAAAAATTTACTCTTCGAAAGATTCTGAAAACTTCTGGAACATTCTTCAAACAACGTCTGATGTTGATGTGGTTGGTGCTGGTCATCCTGACGAAGATGAAATTTACGAAAACTCCATAATAGGCACAAACATGATTTATCAATTTAAAAACGATGAACTAGTGCCTATGGAGGAATATTGGGGTGGGATTCCGAAAATCAAGATGTTAGAACCAAGCAAAGTCTTCGTTTTTGACTTTGGATCTGAAATGTACGTATGGAGTGGCAAAAATGCTCCACTAGAAGACAAAAGAAAAGCCCTAAAGTTGGCTAGGGAACTTTGGACTGAAGGTTACAATTACATCGACTGTCACGTGAGCCCATTGAACGTAGCATCAATGCTTGGCAGTCGGGAAAAAAGTAATATTCCTCTTAAATGTAACTCCAGGCCTGATTGGGCCTTATTTGCAAAACTTACTCAGCACAGAGAAACGATCCTATTCAGGGAAAAATTCCTTGACTGGCCTGATTATAGTCGGGTTATAAAAGTGAAAAGTAGTGACGAGAAAAATGTGGATGCTTCATTTGATCTCAAACCTTGTGACGTTAATAAAATGTTAAATACGAAACCTGCGCCTCCTAGTTTGGAAGTGGACGGAATGCATTTGGGTCGCGGGAAGAGTTATTTCGACCCAGAAACTAACAGACTGTTCAAATTTACTACTTTGGGCATTACATGTTGGATAATTTTGGAGTACAGTCACGAGAAAATTCAAGAGTCTTCGGTTGGTCAGTTCTTTAATGGGAACAGTTATATAATTCGGTGGCAGTATAGGGCAACTGTAACGGGTCGTGAATTGAGTGGACGACCCTCTAAGCATTCTCAGGTTGGACGGGACCGTTGCTTGTACTTTTGCTGGCAAGGTAACAACGCAACCATCAACGAAAAGGGAGCTGCAGCATTGCTTACAGTTGAATTGGATTTAGAAAATGCAAGACAGATTCGAGTGGTACAAGGTAAGAAAATCAGTTCTTATTCGTATTGTAGTGTTACTTAAGCGTGACAAGATAAAAATAAGTAAATTTTTTACTAGGCATTTACTTAAAAGTCATTTTTTTTGCAGGCCAAGAAACCCCCGCATTTTTAAATCTTTTCAATGGAGGAATGGTTGTTCACGATGGAAAATACGAGGGCCAAAAGTTACACTGTTCCCACAGGTTGTTTATAAGTAGGGGAGAAGTTGAAAGTGAAACAGTTTTAACTGAATTACCTTGCACAATGAGGAGCTTACGTAGCAGAGCTTCGTTTGTATTAATTAATACCAAATCAAACCATTTAATCATTTGGCATGGTCGAAAATCTTCAAAACAAACGAGAATTGTTACTGAACAAAGTGTTGACAAAATTGTCAGTAACAAACCAAGAGAGTTTGGCTTTAGCAATGAGGAAAAAGTTAAAGTTGATATTCTGGAAGAGGGAAAAGAATCGGACGAGTTTTTCAGCGCTTTGGGGGGTGAAAATCGACAGTTGTATAATTCTTTGGAAAAGAGCAAGGAAAGTTTCGATTACACGCCTCGGATGTTTCATTTGACCAGTATTTCTGGATCTTTTGAAGCCAACGAGATCTTATGCCCGCACAGAAGTGAACATGTAACACCTTATCCTTTCCTACAATCAGATCTCTACTCAGCTAATCAACCAGGTAAATAGAGGATTTTAGTTCAGCAATATCTTATTGTTTTTTCTCTATTTCAAACAGCAGTTTTCAAAATTATTGTTTTATTCTTTTAGTTACGATATAAGAAGATTATTTACATACAATTCTTATTTTTTTTGCAGCCCTTTTCTTGTTTGATAACGATCACGAACTATGGCTATGGCAGGGTTGGTGGCCTCTGCGTGACGATGACGCTGATGATCTCGGAGACCAAACGGGTTCAGGAGCAGTAAGATGGCAGGCTGAAAGGAAAGCATCAATGGACACTGCCCTTAACTACTATAAGACCAGACATCCCGGTTGTAAGCACATCGAAGCTTACCTGGTGTGGAGTGGTTTGGAACCATTGAAGTTTACCAATCTTTTTCCTTTTTGGACAGATAAAGACGACATTGCTGAACTTAATATAAAAGTATGTTTACACAATATATTTTAATAATTTGACATTAAATACTAGTGTCGCGATAAATTTTATTGAAATTTTGATCAAATCTATCCAGTAGTTCTTGGGTGTATTTCAATGTTTATTCATTTGTTGCAGGAAGGAAGAAAAGCTGGCGATTCCAAATCAATCGAAGCAGAATTAGCACTTTTAACTCAGGAAACATATCCTTTATCTCAAATCCTTCAAAGGCCTCTTCCAGAAGGAGTTGATCCCACTCAGCTGGAGAAGTATTTGTCTTCAGAAGACTTCCTTGAACTGACTTCAATCACAATTGAAGATTTCCAGAAGTTACCAGCGTGGAAGCAGGCTGCCATCAAAAAAGAAAAGGGACTATTTTGATACTTACTCTCTTTTTTAAACTTTAAATTTTCGCGCTTGTTTCCATTGCTATCTATTTACGAAGGTAAGAAAAGAACGATTGATTTGAACGAACCATCGTCTAGTTTAAAAAAATCTAGAATCGATTGATGCATTATTAACATACGGTTTGGAATTATTAATAGTGCTTTTTTTTCGTGTATTAAACTAATTCGTGTTTTATGCAGAGTTTTGTTCATGATTTTTAAGATTGAAATAATTACAAAACAATTTGTTAACTAGAAACATCAAGTTCTCTGTAGTTTATTTTTGAAAGGCTGAGGGTTTTTGTGATTCAAAGTCGTTAAACGGATCCTTAAAAAAAGAAAAAACAAACAGTTGAGGCTATTAAGTATTCGCGATGTATTTTAATAGTGCAGTTGAGATTTTTATTCAAATAAATTGTTGATATTTTATTTTGTAAGATCTCAATTCATTTTTTTTGTTTCTTATATGACTTATAAAGGCAACAAAATACGAGTCCAACAGTCCTTAATGTACATATATTGTATAAAATTTTTGAAACTCTTTTAAGTTAAAAACTATAGCGCTTTGTTTTAAAAAAGAGGTGCATTTTTTAGTTTTCGTAGCAATTTTGCTTAGTTTAATTAGGAGTATTTTGTCTGTGATTATGTTTTTAAAAGAAAATTGTGTGTACAACTCGGTTTAATATCCCACCCTGTGGTGCCTTTAAGCGTCCGGAACTGACCCTTTCTCGAGATCATATTATCTAGTCCTAATGTATTCCCGTGACATTGATAAGAGTGTGACTCTACCTTTTATAGTGTAAATGTTAATTTTTTTTTAATGTGATATATACGAAATTGTATTTTAGGTAGTTCTTATAATGTTTAGGGTAGATCATAAATTTCTCTCTGTTTTAAACGTTTTTCAAATAGTTGTATTTAATTTTGCTTATCATTACGTAAACAAATATCACACATTAAAAATTTTTTATTTACTTTACAAAATACATGCATTTTAAGGAAATCACAAGATTTTGTTCAATATTCAACATTGCGTTATAAAAGTTTTGTGTTCATTTGAAAATTTTTGGCATTTTTGACAAGATTTTTGTATTTTGCCATTATCGATAAATATATTGAACCAAAAACTATATCGATACTAAAAGTAAAATACAGAAAAATTGGCAAAAATGCCAAAAATGACCAAGTTCCAAATTATTTGTATTTAACTATTGAATATCCAAAATATTAGGATAAGTTTAACTAACAATGAAGAAATTATTAATTTTTTATTGTAAAACTTGGACTCACTGTTATTAGGGGCTGTTTTGATACATTCTGAAATTGCGAACAAAAAACTTTCTAAAATTAGTACTACGATACTGTTTTATTCTATGAAAACTGTTTGAAGAACACAAAGTAAGTCTATTAATTAAAAAGCTTTTCAGTTTTATTTCTAATGCGCACACACGATAGACTCTACGCACAAAAATGTTATTATTAAAAAACAGGAAATCAAAGAGAACGTTAAGGATAATATTTTAAAAAAAGTACATGCTTTTAAAAACATATCAAAATTTCATACAACTGATCGAACTGGACAGGATCAATCTTTTTTTATTAATTACTGTTTTTTAAAATAAATATAAAAAATTTACTTTCTATGGATGCATTTCATTAAAATTCGCTATTTCTAGTGTCTGAAAATACAAAAATTACTTAAACTCCTCATTTGTAATGCTTAGCATTTTCCTATTCATTATTTTAAATTGGTTTTTGAAAAAATTACATGATCTACCCTGGACAGCTTTTCTTATTAATAACTGTTCATTATTATTCTAATTACATATAAATTTGTGTGTTTTGTACATAATTTTTACATAAATAAAATAATTAACGTACAGCATACTCTTTTTAATGTTATTTAGATATGTTGGTACATAGAAGGTAAGTTAAGTTTTGATAAACTTCTAATATGCTCTAAATATACATGGTTTTAATTAATTACATTTAAAATTTTATCGTTTTATATATTGTAGCTTAATTTTTCTTTATTCATTTTTATATTATATTGTTTTTGGTTACACAAAAGAGCTTATAATTAATAATATACGTATAATTTCTACTTTTTTAAAATCAAGTACCTATTTAACTACTTTTTTTGATTGTATTAATCATTTTTTTGCGTCAGACGTTAATTTATTGTAAATAACAGGTAATAATAATAATTCCATGTATTAAGATAAGAGAAGCAGTACACCTTTGCTCGTCCTTACTCAAATTAGTCAAGGCCTGGCTTTCCGCATTATAACAAATTAACGCGCTCATTAGTTTCTTTGTTCTCTGAGTGAATCGTTAATTATTTTGTAATATAGTTTATTAGTGGTTGTAAAAGGGTTATTCTTGCAGTCTGCTTCTTCAACACAGAAAGGTAAGATCAGTTTTTATCTTTATTTATTTTTGGGTAAGTACTTTTGTCTTTTGTTAATTTAATGGTCATGAATGGGTTTGGTAGGTACACATTTTCTCTTTGTAGGAGGACATTAGATGACCAAAAAAAATTTTTTTAACAAAAGACAAAAGGTATTTTAATACATAGGTATTATTGTAGTAAATAATAGTATAAGTGCGTATGTAGGTACCAATTATGAATTTTTCAAATTCAGTTTTGCATTCCTTTGACTTATTTACACTTGCAAGGAAAATTAATGTAATTTACTTGTGCAATGAGGATCAATATGTTCGATTAGTACATTTAATTTTAAGGAAAATCAGTTCATAAATTCACATCAGGATTAATTTTATAATAGTACCCATATACTATTAAAAATAACAGTGTAACATTTTATTTATTTTTTATGAAATTACAAACGGTTACGATTACGTACTTTTCAATGTCAGGTAGATACCTGTGTCTGTATTTTATTTAATATGCAGTAGCTATTAAAGAAAATCAAATGATCGATTTAAATGTTAGAAGTGAACAACATTTATTGAAAATCTTTGATTTTTGCAAACATTTCACGCATGTTTAAAAAGAATTTTATATAGACGCTAAAATATAAAATGAAAATGGTAAATTAAATACATACTATCCAAATATTCGTTCATCGTTAATTCGATATGCAGTTTGCTTTTGGGTCCGAAATAGTGGAGCGCCTTTTTTACTGGTGAACAACGCAATAAATGTTTTTGGTTGTTTATGTTGTTTTATTTTTATTGGAGAAAGTGCAATGTAATCACCAACAAAAGGGACTTCTTTGGGTCACTAACGATAAAAGTAAAATGATTTTTATGTATAAAAAAATTACGTGCAAGGGCGCGGTTAGGAATAGTAGGTACTCTTAATTCGCAAGGCCTAGTAATAGTGGTTAATTCATTACGGCTTGTGTCTTATTAGTCAGTATTTTAATTAATTAATTTTTGATAAGTACTTGAATATTATGTGGGGTCAGTATTTAAATACATAAGTGACTCAACTAACTTCTATGTTCTTCAGATCAGTCGACACCCTTGTGAAAAATGGGTGGTTTGTCCACCAAAATTGCTCTTATCGTTTGCAATAGGAATGAGCAAAGTTGTTGATTTTATAGTTCAGTCTGTCATACAATAATAAATGGTCGAAAACTGACGCAAAATAATATTTGATGTAGGTTCCAGTTTTCGTACAGAACATTATAATTTTTTTATTAATACAATACAAACAATCGACTGGATGAAAACAAGATGTTTAGGATTCAGTTAAAAAATTATTAAAAATCAGTCTACATGTATGAATTAATGATCAACTACAAAATTTCCTCAACTGTTTCAGTTTTCGTCCATCTTATAGAAAACTGAACTTTTTGCATAATTGGTAATCTAGTATTTGCCCATTAAATTTTGGCAAGTTAGTTATAAAAAACAACAATTGTTCCAGTTTTCGTCCAGCTGGTCGAAAACTAAGCTTTCTGTTGAATTGATAGTCCAGTATTAGGAATTCATTATTTTGCGATACAACTTGACCAAAAGTTTCAAACCTGGACTTGATGCCACAAAAATATCAGATGGAAATGGTAATTGTTAGGCTAATGGTAGTCGTTTTGATTTCTATTACGCTCTTTTTGTCGTTAAATTAGCAAAAGAAGATGGCCAAAATTTATTTAACAAAAAATTTAAACCTCGACTAATTGTAAGCTATCAAATAACAATTTTACACATTCTAAGTACCGCTCTTTAGGTAGATTCTTCCATTTGTTCTATTTTTTAATAAACTATAGAAGTAAAATATTTGAATTTTGCTATTTGGAATTCAGTCGAAAAACTTTGTGCCTTGTAGATTATTTATAGTTTTAGGATCTTATTTATTAGAGTATCAATCTTCTATTCAAAACTTTTGTCAGACTTTTATAATTTACCCAGAGAGAGAGAGAGAGTTGTTCCTGAAAATTCCACCCCATGCTGTAATACCAAACCTTTAAGAATTTTGATTATTTAAATGAAACAAATTGTGTTTAATCATTGATCAAATGAGATACATGGTGCCTGCGTATGGTCAATTGGTGATAAGTAGGCCTGTCCGGGCTTTTGGTATTGATTATAGTAGCTGTATTTTGTCCTAAAAGGGCCGCAGCGGCAGCGATACAAAGGGGGTGAGTGTGCAGAAGGGTGGCGGTGTATGTAGATAGGTGACTGTGCACTGTGGATAGCGCAACGCTCATTTGTATATCCAGGTCAGCAACGCACACATGCTTGTTCCCTTGTAGGCTCACACAGCAGAAGCGGGAGCGCGTCATCCTCGCCTGCTAACCGGCCATCCTGGGTCAATCTGCCAGCAGGATGCAATTAACTTGACGGGTCACGGGACCACTCTGAAAATCTAAATAGTTAAAAAACTTGTAACATTGTAGGGAAATATATAATCTATATATATAAAAGAAAGTCGTGTTAGTTACTTCACTTATAACTCAAGAACGGCTGAACCGATTTGGCTGAAAATTGATGGGGAGGTATCTTACAACCGGGAGAAGGACATAGGATACTTTTTATCACTTTCCACGAGAAAAATGTGGTATATGTAAACGCAACCGACATGGAATGACAAAACGAAATTGACAGCAAAACAAAAAATTTATCAGTCAAAACACCAATCTAGCCTTTCATTTGTTAAGATTGCATGTTTGTTTTTGGTTCGATTTACTTGAAATTGATTAAAAAATTCAATCTCTGTTGGGGGGGATGAGTGGTGAAGAGGAGTTGCAATGTTTAAATGGAACATATATTATTTGTGATCAGATTTACTTGAAACTTTGTTTTAATGGTCTCTCATTTAATTTCTGAAAGATCTATCTCGACAATTTAAAAAAGGGAAAGGTGTTGCAATTTTTGTTTGGGACATACTTTATTTATGGTTGAATTTACTTGAAACTTGGTATATATGCTGTTTGATATTATTAATCAAATGAAAAGAGGTTGCAACGTTTCCATGAGCTACATTTTATTTGTACTCGGATTTACTCGAAGGATGCTCATTGCTGAAATTAAGCAAATACGTGTTTTGGCAATTTTTAAAAATCAACCCTTAAGGATGAAATGTTGTTGCTACGTTTGTATTTGAAAGATGGCGACATTACACAAAAGTAAAACGTTGTAAGGGTGAATTGGGAGCTAAAAGGTTTTATGGAGAAAGAATATTAATTTCTGGGAGCGAAGCCGCGGGGAAAAGCTAGTTTAAAATAAATCATATTATTGTGTTCGGTGCATTCGATCACTGAAGGGGCATGTTGGGCAGGTCACATTGGAAAATTAAATCTATGTTATCTTCTGAAAGTTCTATATTTTTTTCAGAAAGATAATTCAACATTTTTTCTCATAATTCTTTGCTCTTGTGCACTATTAATTTCTTTTTATGTACGTATTCATCCAAAAATGATTAATTATTCTCCATATTGATTTAAAATTACAGTTAAGGATATTTTGCTTAATTTTGATCAGTTCATTTGTTACTTTAGGTAACTATTGTGCAAAACAAACATAATTATCCTTTCAATTATTACTAATAAATCTGTTTAAGGGATGATCAAAGTAATTATTCGATGTAACAGCAATTTTATTGGTACAGCACAATTACCTAGCACTGAGATAAAGGTAAAACGATAGGAAATACATTAACTTTTACTTTATTTTGAATTGAATGATAAGAATTGAAAATACTTAGAGCTATCATTTAACATTAAAAACACCCCGTAAATGAAATTTTTCGAAAACTAGAGTAATTAAGGGAAGGTACTGTTATTTCTAGAGATGTGCAAAATGGTTTTTAAATTAAAAGTATTTAAATACAAAATGTAAAATACAAAATAAATTTCCCTTTTGTATTCTAAATGATAAATGCAAAATACGAATTAGAAAACATTCATGGATTGTCCCCATTTGTTGTGTCCCCTTTTTAATCTTCCTATACCTTCAATGGTCAATATGACCAACTTTAATCCATCATTTTTGATGTAATGTTTGATCGGTGATACTAGCAAAACTTTTAATGGCAAAAATGTATTTTACATTATAAAAATAGAAAATACATTTAGAGAAGTATTTTAAATAAAATTAAGATTATGTGGCGAAAAAGGCGTATCATTTATTTGGACGGGGGTTGATGTGCGCCCAAAATAAGAATCAAACTTCTAAAATCCAAATTAACATTAAGGATTGAATTATTATCCTGTAGAGAGTAGTGGTGCATTTTTTGTTTAATTGGTACGCGTCAATAGGGGTAAATATGTACAATTATACATGTATGTATTGAAAAATATATGCATGTAAATGACTACATGTACGACGTTTTGTTCTTTGAGTTCCGGTTCGTACGATTCGAATGCAGAAGCGTAATGGGCGAGGCCGGCCCGGAGGCATATGAGCTTTAAAGCTTTAAATATACTCCATTGCAATTGCAGTGGAAAACAATGCCGCTTTCCGACAAAAAGGGGGACTAAGAGGGTTTGTAGTGCATCCTTATCTCCCCCTGACAACAATTAAACTCGTTGTTTTGACGATTCAGCAGTACTCAGCAAATTAACTATTATTCTAGGATATTCTCCGAATGATTGGAGAAATGGAAAGATCGCGATTGTTAAATATTGAAAGCTATACTATCTCCAATGATTTTTCGCTGAAGGCAAGAAATTAAATGGAAAATATACATAAATGTTGGTTTGGCTGTTCGATAATAATTTTAATATTGGTAGCACTACAGTTTAATTAAAAGTCGACGTTTCCGATTTAGTTTTGCTTTAAGATAAATGGATTTTAATCCTACATAATTACTCGAGTACTTAGTAATAATAAAGCAACATTTATATACAACAACGAATTTTACTTAATCTATAAAAATCTTAATACGAATGAAAATAACATGGGGTTGACTATCTTTTACATGTTTTTAATTGGAGTATATTGTTAATATCCGCTTTCTTAGAACTTTCTGTAAATATTTCTTTTAAAATAAGTAATAATCAATTTTCAGAAATTAACAATGTGTATGTATAGCTAGCGTGTACTTGTGTTTTTGTTATCTGCTAATTACTCCAAGGTAATCGTGTCCTAAAGATATCGTACTATAAAAACGTTTCCGTTTGATATTAAAATTCCTATACATACGACTTTTCTACAGTTGTGTCCTAATTATTATTTTATATGATATCCTTTATTATATTTAAAATTAAGGGTAAATTACGTGTACACTTATACTATAATTGATAATAATGCAATAATTTTTATAACAGCTGTAAAAGACTAGTGAAATGCATTTAATATTGTTTGAAAAATTCTAATAGGGAAGGTAGGCGTTTGCTAGGTTTTTTTCTTAATACGTATATATTTTCAACATATGTATTTAAAGGGTACCTACGTTAAAGAGGGTGCTTTCATTCAATTGGAGTAAAATCGGACAATTATTGTTGCTATTCTGCGGTTAAAGGTCTAGTTAATGGATATAATTTTACAAAATGAAAAAACCTCAATTTTAATCCAAGATGTTGAACAGTTCTGTTTAAAGAGAAGGATTTCATTCAGTACGTGATAAGGTAATTGTCAGGAGGGAAATATCAATCAGAGTAAATTAATGAAAAACTAAACAGTTTATAAACAAAATGGTTGCTTGTTAAATAATTCGATTACTGACCCTTTTTTTGTCTTAATAAGAGTAAAAAAATCGAAGATATCAATCGATATCAAAAATTACTGTTCCTAATCGAGAACAAATTCATAACTTAACGTGAATCAGCAATTCCAGGACTAGAACCTCCCCTTTACTTCTCATGTAATAGGTGTATCTATCGCTTATTTAAATTTGTTTCTTCATTATCATTCAATACCATTTCACAAATTATCCAAAAATGATCTTCTCAGTAAAGATTTCTTTTCAACAAAAGTGGAAGAATAGTGAAGATGATATTAACGTTATAGAAAAGCTGAGGATTTTCAATTTCTTTAGAATATTTTAATTTGAAGATAGTTGAAAATAGTTTTATCTAAAAGATTTTGATTGACGTTCTTTACAATTATAATTTTAGATTTTCTAGACTACTTTAATAAAAAGTTAAGCTATTATTTTAAGAAAACTATTTGCAATTAGGAAGAAGTATCGGCTGCATATGGAACTTAAATTAGTAATCGCTTAATTAAATTTTGAAGAAGGTACACTGTGGTTAAATAATAATTGTCAAGGTAATAAAAGTGTGAAAGTTTTAGTGTTATATTAACGCCAATATCGTCGATTGAAATTATTAAAAATGGCGTAATTTATTCAAATACAGTGTTTTAATGAATTTCATTTGCTACATTATTAAGACTATACAAAGTAACATTTGCGATCTTAATTGCAGAGCAAATGGTTGTCTGTTTCCTGATTGCTTCCCACGTAACTAATTATTACCCATATTGAAGCAAGTAAACCGCAGGAGCTTACAGGATAAATTCAGGATGGATTGTACTATTCCGTACGAAGTTTTAATGTAAGTATGGAATTAATTTTTAAATATATTGTGAATAGGTAAATGCAGTGATGTCTATATTATAATTTTATTAAACAAAGCTGACCTTGGCGTCTATGAAATCTCTGAATTTTGAAAATATTTTCCTTTTTTTATAATTTATTTTTCTTGGAAATTTTACCTTGCCTACATTTGGGGGCATATTTATCTACTTATCATCCATTTTAACATGATTTTTTTATTTAAAATTAATTTTCAATTGATGTATAAATATAACAAATGAACTAAAACGTTTTATAGTATATCTTATGTATTTTAGATTGTTCAAATGCAGTGGACAGAAGCGCAATAACTAAAAACTACAATGGACTACTATTACAGAGAAAAGAAGGATTAATATAAATTTGATTATTAAAGAGGCAAACGTTTGGTGAATTAGTATGGGTTTTATTGGATTTCCATTAAACTATTGGATGTTTTTTGCTGTGGAGTAAAAATTAATTTCCATATAGACTACTTCTATGTATGTCCACATATTCAAACAAGTGAGTTGACTTTATCTACTGATTGTACAAAAATTTAAATCGTTAACCGAAAAGTACATATATTTAAGTTACTCTTTTATTTTTTTGATCTTTTGACTTTGATGCAGATATTAACATAAAAATGATTGGATCGAATGTCAAGGGAAAATTTAAGTTTTGGATGTATGGAGAATGTTGGGTTATTTGAATGTAATAAATACTCACTGAAACTTGTAATTTCTTATAAATGTTTTTTTTTATTGTTGCAGGCATGAGGAGCTAGTTACAGAAGCAAAAACAGGAATAAAGAGTGGCAGGGGAAGATCTATCTACATCTACACCCTGACGATGCAGATTCAATGGTTGTTTTGGCATTTATTTCTACAATCATCCACCCAAGGACCACCAGTGTCTGCTTTGGATTTCCCATACGCATTGCTTTTTCTTTTAGTATTTTTTAATGGTTTATGAAAATTTGTAAACAAAAGTGGGTTTATTGAACAATTTTTTTTAATAAATGTAACATTTGCCGTTATTACTTAGTGAGATATAATTACAATTAGATTGAAACAAACTTTAAAAACACTGTTTAAAACTTTGAAAAAACTTCTTGTTATTTATTATAATTGTTACTACTGATGATTTCCTTTTTCAAAGTTTGTTGAAATCTAATATTTAATTATAACTTATTTTAAATCTGTTTATTGTAATAGATAATTTTAATATTGGTAG